ACGAAGAACACCTTTCGAGATCGATCCACCTATCAGGATGTATGAAAAGCATTACTCAGTCTAAGGGAACACATACTGGAGTCTAATGTACAGAAACTAGCCATACCGAAGATAGAAGGAAATCGGCTGGATTGGAGGATCATAAGGAACATGGTGAAAGTAATCTTTCAAGATACCGGAGACCAAATACAGGTCTTCGGCCATTCGCCCAGTGTCCAGGCTAAAACAAAGATAGTCCCTTGTTACGTCCATGCAACTGGAAATTGTAAAAGAGGATTCAGTTGCAGATAATACAACCATTCCAGTTTAGTTTGGTAAGAGTTCCAGGACGAACTATCTCTTAAGGAGGGTGCAATGTTATGTGAGCCATCTCACTATTCAGTCATGCTCTATCCTCCAAGTCCCTCTCTGTCTTATTTGGCATTTCCTCGTGTTTTCCCAATCATAACTCTGTGTTATTACTAATAGTACCACTATTTTAAATTCACACACATACAATAATGCACTATGTTACTCTCATCAAAGTAAGAAAATCTTATTTATTATTAGGTTATTATATCGCTATTCTTTCTATATACTATTTATATTGATGATAAATATATTATTCCGAGTCCAATTTTTAATACTCACCCTTAATACTTAAATAAACAAACACACGTTATACGCAGTTACTGGTCTACTGACCCAAATACAATACTGCAACACTCAAAACAACAGTTCAATACATTTAAAAATATAAAATTCCTACCAAATTTTGAATTCGTCTATCCTAAACTAAATTTCAAATTTTTTGCCCTATTTTTTTCCCATCATTGATCTGCGTCGCTCGATATAGAAATCTACTTTGAGTTTCATATTTCCAATCAATAAAATAAAATCTCGATTTCGAGGTGGGTTTAGCGATCTAAAATATGATATAAAATTGATTAAAAAATAAAATCAGGATAATTTATTTATTTTCTTTCTCTGCTTGTTCACCTCTGCCTGTATCACAAGTTTTTGTCTGCTTCTAAAGTCTCTACCTGTCTACTTGTCTCTACAGCCATTGCCTTTCTCTACCGTCTTCATTTGTCTGCTTTTGTCTGCCGTCTCCTTGTCTCGACGTTTCTCTGCTATCTCCTCCTTGCTGGTTCCCTTGTTTTTGTAATAGTTTTTTTATAATGTTTATTTAAATCAAATGGTACAATTTCTTCAATTTCTTTGTTTCATCTATATATTTTAGCTTTAATTTAACATTTAAAATATCCTCTTCTGGCATTTTTATTTCCGCTTACAATCCATTTAGTTCAAAACAAAAAACATCCCTATTACATTAATAAAATGTTCTATATCCCACGCCGATATTGGTATCTCCATATTTATAACGTAATCTTCCAGAAATGTTCATAGCAATATTAGCAATATTAGAATGCAAAAAAAATAAATTAAGAGTTTTATTTTACATTCATACATTCAAAGAATGCTGTCTTTTAAAACAAAAACTGCTGATAAAAGTATAAATAAATATCCCTCAAGAATACATAAATATTCTGGAATTCACAAATATTTTATCGCTAAATAATTAATGAATTAAATATGCAACCAAACATACACCAACGTATACTGTGTAGTGTTATTACCATTCAGGAGAAAACGAAGACTAGTGGGTTCATATTGTTCATAATATTCGACAAATATTGGCAGAATGTTGGATTTTTAGGTAAATATAAAAGTAATATAATTTGTTTATATATTGAGAGGATCCGAAGAAGATAAAGAGTAAATAATGAATTGTACAACTTGATTTTTGAAGCCCAATTAGTACTAATCGTTTACATATGGTGGGTAAAATTTTATTTAAAACAATACAATATTTTGACGTTTTCTTTCATATATTTTCTATTTCCTGATTGTGCATATGTTTCAAAATACGTATCCCCCTTGGCGACAATAATTTAAGCAATGGAAAGTTCTTACTTTTATTAAGATTAAGTCCAGTAGCGTCTCTAGAAGTAGTATTCTTTATTACCAATTTTTGTCATTCTATTAAAGAGGTTCCAGGTATTTTCTTACAATCCCAAGCTTAGCAGGTATATTGGGAGGCAAGCTATTTGGCTATAAAGCTAAGCAGAAAGGTCAGAAGCCATGCAAGGAGGTAAAAAGCAAAGCAAGAAACTACTAAGCAGTAAGGTACTCCAAATAAATTCAGAGGTTACCTTAAGAATGAGTTCTACCTGTACAGAAAAGCCTAAAACAATAGATTATAATTATTTACTTTCTTTATTAATGATCATGAATTTTGGTTGAGAAAACTTACTATGTGTGGTGAGTGGCTTAGAAGTAGATTAGTTTTATAAAACAAGTATATTTTATCCACCAAGTATGTTAGCAACTCTGCTTATTACTTTTATCAAAACTAATGAAGTAATCTTTTTTTAGGGCTAATTTAATTCAAAAATTCATCGAAAAATAGGAAAGCACATGTTCCAATTCAGTAGCCAAACAAAAGAAAGAGGTAGTAAAAAGAGACAGTTAGATCTTACGACAAAATGGAGTAAATCATGACCAATAGGTAAGCAGCTATTTACCTTTATTTTAGGACGAGGCCTGAAGGAAAAAAAAAGGGAAAATAAAGAAGAATCTCGAAAGACTGCATTATTATACAGAGACTAGGTTATGGTAATAATAACAAAAATTAAATAAATGTTTAAATTAATTTTAATTAGTTTTATTTATTAAGGCAAGTACCAGAAGATCTTCTCTTTTAAAATTATATTTTATTAGTTAAAATTGCACAAAATCATAACAAAAATTACTTAAATATACTTTTAAATTTAAATTACTTTCAACCCGTAACAATAGTCTAAATACTCTAAATGGTGTCTAAAATGGCGCAAAGGACATTTTTGTAGGCCTGTTATGTGTAAAAGTTCGGTATATGCGATCTCCAAGTACAATTGATATTATTTCATCTACACCTAAATTAAAGACTACACAAGTTTTAAGTAACGAAAAATATATTGAACAACAGATTATAATGGGAAAACCCGAAACAAAAGAAACCGTATAAAGGTTACACATCGAGTTGAAATATGTTTTTTTATAAAATATAATATTGATAGATAACATAATACACATATGCATTTATAAATGGTTTTTTCTTTTATTGGAAAGGTATAGCCCTAAAGCCTTTACAGACGAGTCGTCACTTGTCATGTATTCGTTTTTGCACGTTTTGGTTTAAACATTATATTTCTTAAAGATTTTGAATTTATTAACAACTGGGTCTTAAGTCTTAAGTAACATCACAAATATTTTTTAACTTTGATATAAATCGTGTTGTTCTGTTATTTCTTTAGTAAACCAGCAATATAAATAGCGCAACATAAACTGCTGTAATTTTATTTTTAGATAGCAAGGAAAATGGTGAAAGTGTATCTTTAACTTTTTGGATTGTTTACATTTTCCTAAAATCCTACTATTGAAGTTTTCTTTATTTTCAGGCTCGTGTAACAAATTTGCGATTGTGTTTTTGACTTATTCCATAATATATATTTCCGCATTCAAAATAAATTGATTATCTTTCTGTATCAGTTTCATACAATTCTGTTTTTTTTTATGGTTATTTTAGGTTTGTTTTTTTTTTTTCAAGCACCATGCAATTTGCTGAGTGTTCCATTGTTATTCTTCTATTTCTGATTGTAGTTATTTTCGTTTCGAGGTAATTAAACCGCATAACTTTCCTGTTCGGATTTAATTGGTATCTTAATGGAATTCCGGATTTTATTACAGATTTTTCATTTAACAGAAATTTTCCTATTATACCCTTTTGCAAAGATATTCTATAAATAAAGCTTTTCAAACTGGTATCCATTATCAGAATAAATATCTCAATTATTAAATACTATGCTTCTTTATAATCGTTCTAAGATTAGTCTTACTTACTGTCATAGAAACTTATTTTTAATAAAATTAAAAAAAAAACATCTTAATTACTGTCACGTTAGGTGATATGTTTAATCAATTAAAATAAATTGAAATAGTAAATAAAGTCACAATGTATCTAAGAAGGGGAAAAAGAATAGGATAATAGATAGAAAAACTTAAAGAAACAAAAGAAATAAGACAAGAAGATGTGCCTGAAATGATAAATATATATGAACAACGGGAATTGAGTACGATAGCAGATAGGTAGTGAAAAATCAGTATAAAAAAAGATGAAGAAGCTATACGGAGAATGTTTACCTTGATGATAAAGGAAATAAAGAAAAACAGGAAATAAATAAATAAATAGGAAAATGGATACAGTGGATAAAAAAATGATTGAAAACAGTAAAATAATTGGTAAAAATTTTATAAAAATATATTAGTCCGGGATCCCAGGCCCATTTTCACCCATGATTACTAACAAGCAGATTTTTTGTGAGTTGCTTCATTTTGACGAGACGCTTAACTTTTTTCCTTACTTCAATTTTGATAAACAATAGCTAACAGGAGTAGCGGGGGTTAAATATGTTGATTTGATGAATTTCAAAAATTTATTACTAACTGAATTTTTCTTTGTTAATTCCCAAGATAATTATTTAAATAAACCGAAGAAATATTTGTCCTACAAAATTTAAGGTTTTATCAGAGAGTCCCCCCTCTCCAACATGTATAATTAACAAGGTTATGAAAAATAATTACTAACCAGCTGACTTTTTTTTTCTATTGGTTAGTTAATATTAATATAATTGAATATCCACATTGTCCTACAAATTACGTGGTACGACATTCTGGTCCTACGATCAAAAGCTACCAATGCAAAAAGACTTTTTTTTTATTATTAACTGTAGGACCAAAGTATTATTTGATAGATTAGTATGTAACAGGTACTCATTGCTAGTCCTACAAGAATTGTCATTTTCGTTTCCCTATTTGTAACACAGCATAAAGTGACAACATATTTCTTGAAATTAAAATAACTTTATTTTCCAATGTACATAAAAAAATCTGGGTTTTTATATAAACAAAAAAAACCATTATTCTTTATCAGAATTATCGGAAAAATCTTCATCATCTTCGTCAACAGCATCAGCCTCATCTTCATCTCCCTCTTCTTCATTTTGTTCGTTAATGACGTCTGACTCTGTAATAACATAAAACAATTAATAAATCGCCGAATAATTAATAAATAAATAACAATAATATTAATAGAGTACCTTGTAAGTCAGAAGATAATTCTTCGAAAGATGGGCTTTGGAGACCATCAAACCAATAATATTGATATTTATTATCAATTATTGTCCATCCATAATTTTCTGGCCATTTTTCGGTGGGACACCGCAAATGTGCAGTAGACTGGGCCAAAAAAATAACTATTTTTTGTTTTTGAAAGATATATCGAGAATATCATTCAGAATGATAAAAAAAAAATTCGTGAAAATTTGAGCCCTTAATATTAATTTTAAGAGGTCTATCATCGCTATTTTTGATTTTTTGTCATAATTTGATGTTTTACGTTAGAACTGTCAAAACATTAAAGTGAAAAAAATTCCGTTTCACTTATTCTGATATAAAATTAAATTCTCTACGAAAATGGTATGATTGAAAATGTTCGTCAGACGAGCTGTTTCCAAGTAATTTCGTAACTAATAAATAACTTTTGAAGAATTACATTTAGGCAAAAATATTAAGAGACCTTTTTTGTAGAACATTAATTTTCCTTTAAGAATCCGACGTGGGCTTTTTTAAATATGCATTGATTCATTAGTTACGAAATTACTCGAAAACGGCTCGTCTGACAAAAATTTGAATGAAGCCTTTTTTGTAGAGAATTTAATTTTACATAAGAATAAGTAAAAAGGATTTTTTTTCACCTTAATGTTTTGACAGTTCTAACGTAAAACATCAAATTATGACTAAAAATCAAAATAGCGATGATAGACCTCTTAAAATTAATATTAAGGGCTCAAATTTTTAGGAATTTTTTTTTTCATCATTCTGAATGATATTCTCGATATATCTTTCAAAAAAAAAATTGTTATTTTTTTGGCCCAGTCTAATGTGCATTATACCATACATTGGAGATAAATACTGTCCTTTTAATTTGTTGCGGCAATTCTTGTTTTGTTGGTGGTAAACTGGAAGAATCATATCCTACGATACTTTTTTTTAATACTTCTTCATTATCATTTCTTGATTTATATCCTTTTTTAAATGACTCATACCTTCCTCTGTAGATATCATTTTTTGTTTTTAACGAGTACACTCTACATACATACTCTTCAATAATTTGAATTACCTCATTTGTTAATGCTGTATCTTCACTTCGTAGAAGTTTAATAAAAAAGCATCTTGAAAATTTCTATTTTTCTTTAAAATACTGAATACTGAAATACGAAAGAAAGCAGTATTGTAATCATTTCCTGTAAAATTCTAGTATATGGCGAGTGAACAAGATAATTGATCTCCAAGCCTGGCATAAATTTCATTTATGTTTAAGTACATTTTTTTTACTTGTGCTTAAATAGATTATTATTTGAATTTGATCCTTTAAATACTTAAAATTTTCCAACATTATTATTGGTATATCAGAGTCTGTACAACGTATCTGCATATTAAAGTTACAATTAAGTTGACAAATGTGGTACACAATTTTGGTGTCAGCTTCTTCATGATAACAAGGAAGGTTATAATCAATAACTCTTTTTATTTTATTTTCACTTGATACCTCATAAGTGTAACATTGACCATAATTAAGTTTAATAGTCTTTTCTTCCATTAATATAATAAATTCATCTCTTGTCCAATCTTCTATTAGAAATTCAACAAATTTTTCTTTAAAGTTGGTACTCCTTAATAATTTGCTCAAATCAGCGGGACGGTTATTGTCTCTACGTAAGACGTTATATTGTGATTCCTCTTCACCTCTCAAATCATGTTCAAAATCTTTAATAATAGGTTTTTTGTACTTCTCAAATATAATATGTTCTTCTTTTATAGGTATAGTCGGCTCCTGCATGGATTACGTAGTATACACTAAACAATGCGTAATAGTTTGATTCAGTTCCAATAGCAAAATGTAGAAAATAATTTTATCTTTAATTTCATGAATTTCAAATATGGAACCGGCATAATGTACCACGTAATGTGTAGGACAATATGGGTGTTAAACTATATTAATATTAACTAACCAATAGAAAAAAAATCAGCTGGTTAATAATTATTTTTTATGACCTATATGATGGAGAGGGGGACTTTTTAATAAAACCTTAAATTTTGTAGGACAAATATTTTTTTGGTTTATTTAAATAAATACCTTGAGAATTAACAAAGAAAAATCCAGTTAGTAATAAATTTTTGAGAATCGTCAAATCAACATATTTCACCCTTGCTACCCTAGTTATAAATCACAATCGAAAATTTTCGTAGATTTCATTGAAACGAAGCTATTCACGAAGATTCAGCTTGATAGTAATTATTTTTACATCAAGTATTAGTACTACAACTTTTGAGCGTAGGACCAGGATGTCGTACCACGCAATTTGTAGGACAATGTGGGTGTTAAATCATATTAGTATTAACTAACCAATAGTAAAAAAAATAAGCTGGTTAGTAAATATTTTTCATGTCCTTGTTAATAATACATGTTGGAGAGGGGGGACTCTTTGATAAAACCTTGAATTTTCTAGGACAAATATTTCCTTGGTTTATTTAGATAATTATCTTGGGAATTAACAAAGAAAAATTCAGTTAGTAATAAATTTTTGAAATTCGCCAAATCAACATATTTCACCCTCGCTACCCCTGTTAGCTACCGCTTACCAAAATTGTTGTAAGGAAAAAAGTTGGGCGTCTCGTCAAAATGAAGCTACTCACAAAAAATCTGCTTATTAGTAATCATGGGTGAAAATGGGCGTGGGATCCCGGACTATATAAGGAGGCAGAAAATAAAAGATTTAGGTTGAATGACAAAAAAAAGAAGAAACTAAAAGAATTGGTAAAATAAGTAAAAGATAAAAGAAGAAAAGATAAAGAGGAAAACCAATTTTACATTATTGACAAAATAGAAGAGAATAAAAATAATATGAGAATAAAAATTGTTAACAGAAGTATATAGGTTGAAAATTTACAAAATATTACATTTAAAGTATTAAAATTAAAAGAAGAAATTTTGAAAGAAAAATTAAAGGAAACAGTAGACGAAACTAACATTAAAGAAAAAGATTTAAGTAAAAAAATATATAAAATAAAGAAATATCTATTAGTAAACAAAATAGAAGAAAAACAAAAACAAATCAAACAGGATGTTAAAGGATAAAATTAATTTTAGGACATTTAAGATTAATTCAGGAATAATTTGACATAAACTGTATACCTAAAACCTAAATGCTACTTACAATATATTTGGTGAATTATTTTGTAATTTGATTTTTTGTTTTTTTACATTAAAATTTCTTTACTATTTCAAACTTGAGAATCCTTAAGTATATTTCGTATGTTTTAGAGAAAAAACCTCCTTTCGTGACGATCATATCGGTCTAAAACCCAAGAACGTACGAACCGAAATTTATTCACGTCTGGCCTAGAAATTTAATTTCCCTACTTTTGGTCGGGATAAATGCGCCTTCTCCTAGAGATTGAATTAGTTTCCCTCTCAGCCCTTCTTATATTTTTCAATATTTAGATTGGAAAGGCTCGAAAACAAGATACCAAATTTTACGCTACAAAGCCCGTGTAGGCGTGTAAATATCAATAAGAAAAAAGAAATAAAATGAGAGTCTTGGATATACATTTCTACAGTGTAAGAGGAAAAGATGATAACCATAGTCGGGTAACTGTATGATGGGTGAAAAGGATGAGAAGAATGAGTTTCCCCGTAGCATTAAGGCTTTCTCCTAAATCAATTAGGCATCTCTTAACACATCAGCCAGCCAACAGATTTAATCTAGTCGACAATGTCGCCTATAGCACAAATTGTCTCTCCAAACGCCGTGAAATAGGCGATGAATTAATTTTCCCCCTTCAAATCATCCGGAGAGAATGAAATGTTTCCTGCTTTTTTGCAAAAAGAACATGAACTCCTGCTACCCCTCCTCGTGAGGCTGTTTAGAACAAGCCCGGCGTGGAGCTATATCCCGCTAGGATGGACGATGGCGAAAGTCGTGTATATACACAAGGCTGGTAGAGTAGATACCTCCCTACCAAACCCTTATCGTCCAGTCTGCCTAACATTCTTTCTTCTAAAAACATTATAGAGTATTCTAGATAAACATATTAGAGAAGGAGGCCTTCGCCCAAGCCCGTTAAACTCCTCTTAATATGCCTACTAAGCAGGCAAATTGACAGATTATGCCCTGCACAATCTAGTAGGCAAAATCGGTCATTCCCTAAATCACAGGGAGATTGCGCCAGGTACCTTCCTAGATATAGAAGGCGCGTTTAACAACGCCCTTCTTCAATCTTTGTTCGCTTCTATTAAAAGAAGAGGAATCGACAAACTAACTTGTAGTTGGATCAAAAGCATGCTGGCAAATCGAAACATTATTTCATCACTGCAGGGAGAGACGATCACATTTAGGCCTGCCAGAGAATGTCCTGCTAGACGATCTCTGTCTTACATTTATTTATTTATTTATTTATTTATTTATTATTAATTAATACATCCAACAGGCTTTATCATCCCAATTACAGGAGTATATAATATAATATTTAAAAATACAAAGTTTGAGAATACTAACTTAACTAAATTACATTTTAATTACCTAATTTGATACCAATCTGTAACATTGCTCTCTAAATTGGTAAAATTTTAGAAAAAATATATCAACAGAATACTGATTGACACTTCTACACATTGTAGTTAAAGGACTGTGAAAGTGATGTTGTGAACTTGGCACTTGAATATGAAATGTTATATTTGACCTTGATGTAATACGTGGGATATGAAAATTAAATTGAGACAGCAGAGAAGATGAATCTACAGAATTATTAATTAATTTATAGATGAATTTCAAATCTGCTATTTCTCTTCTTTTTCTCAGACTCACAAAACTGAATTCTTCTAACAATAAATTATAATCATAGTGACGAATAGGATAACGGCCATGTTTTTTAAAGTAAATAAATTTTAAAAATTTTCTTTGGACAGATTCTAATGCACTTATGTACTTTAAATGGTTAGTATTCCAAACACAACTGCAATACTCCAGTTTGCTACGAACTAGTGAAAAATAAACAGAGAAGATGGCTTCTAAAGATTAAAACTTTTTACAGTTTCTAATAACGAAACCCAAGATTTTTGTTGCACTTTGTACCGTATTTTCAATGTGTTCCGAAAAAGTCAGTTTGCTGTCAAATAAGATACCTAAATCTTTGTAATTATATATCCGGGGAATAACAAGATTATGTAATTGATAGTCGTATAAGACAGTGTTTACTTTCCTGGAAAAGGAGAGGACTTTGCATTTGTTAGTATTCGAAGATAGTTTATTTACGATACACCAGTTATGTAAGTTGACAAGGTCGTTTTGAAGAGCAATGCAATCTGAGGTATCCTTTATTTCCCTATAAATTTTCATATCGTCTGCAAACAAAAGTTTCTTAGAGTTGATACAATGACAGATGTCAATAATAAAATTAACAAATAATAAGGGGCCCAAATTCGAGCCCTGAGGAACCCCTGACGTTGACACGAAATTAAAAGATTTGGCACTCTCGTATTCAACATATAACTGTCGATTAGTTAAAAAAGACTTTAACAATGATTGCATACTCTTTGAAACACCAAATTGTTTCAGTTTCAGAAGCAATTGTTTGTGAGACACCTTATCAAACGCTTTACTAAAATCTGTGTATGCGACGTCAACTTGATTTCTACAATCTAAAGAACTAGATATGTATTGCGTAAATGTACACAGATTTGACGCGGTACTTCTGAGCTTCACAAACCCATGTTGGTATTCCGTGATTGAATTTTTTACGTGGGAATATAATATATTAGAAAATATAATTTCAAAAATTTTGGAAAAACTGAGATTAATGCGATTGGTCTGTAATTTGATATATCAGAAACTTTACCAGCTTTGAAAACAGGACAGATCCTAGATATTTTCCAAATGTTTGGATAGGCCTCTTCTTGTAGTATACGATTAAATATGTAAAAGAGTGGAACTGTCAAAAAACCTATATAACTTTTCACCAGTTTGGATGAAACATTATCAGGACCACAGGTTAACTTATTTTTTAATTTATTAACTGCTTTGATAATTTGATCTTGGGATATATAACTAATATTAAGAAAATTACTAGGATTGTATCAACATCATCAAGTATCTCATGATCAGATCCATCACTAAACACGCTACAAAAGTGCCTGGCAAAAGCATTCACAATAGATTGGGGAGTGGTTAGGGTTTCGTTAATGTATGACATTTTCCCGGGAATCCTAGTTTTATTTTGTTTGGATTGAATATATGACTAGAAGCGCCGGGATTTAGTTTAATGTTATTTTCTGAATTTTGAATGAATCTATTATAACAGCTAGTTATATCACGTTTTACAAATTAGTCTTATGTTTTTATAACCCTAGAGAGACGAACTGGGAAAGGTATTCAACATCACTTGGAGAGTATCTCGAAGAGGGTATGGTGGAAATAACAGGTGAACAAAGCCTTGACCGAGCAGTAGACCAAGTAAGTAAGGCTATTATAACCGCTTACGAGGAAAACTGTCCGGAGAAAACAAGGCAGCAAAGAACAAAAACAGTCTGGTGGAATAAACACTTGGAACGCCTTAGAGGCGAAGTGCGAAGGCTATTTAATAAAGCCAAGTCAACCGAAGACTGGGCCCTATACAAGGCTAAACTCACGCAGTACAACAAGGAGATAAGAAAGGCTAAAAGGCAATCATGGAGGAAGTTCTGTGAGGAGTTATCTGAAACACCCACATGCTCTAGAATCCACAAAGTCTTAGCTAAAGAGGGTGCTGCAAACAGTGCAAACCAAGTAGGATTTCTCAGGA